CTCCACACCGGATTTGGTAAAATATCCCTTGAAGTAGAAACTGTTCTAGATTCTACCAGAATCTAGAACCAAATCAACCTGTGTAGATTTGCCCAGAATATACTTTTTGGAAACTGAGATTGATTTTGGTCAAATATATACTAGTTTTAGCAAGTCTGAAGTGAAAACTATCTATGGCACTGAAACTATGCCTGAAATGGTTCATATCTGCGCGCATATATTTGGTCATGATATCACGCACATCAAATGTGGCGAAACTGACAGTGAAACAAAGGATTTCACTGACAGTTTCAGCACAGATGATACAAAGGAAATCAGCAGTGGAGAAATGCACATAGATTCTCTTTGTTTCTATTTACATTTCTCCACTGCTGAAACTGTAGATTTACAGTACAATGAAATCATTGTTGAAATCTCAAATTTATTCATGCCAGAAATTGTGATTAAAACTGTCAGTATATACATTGGAGAAATTGTAAGAGATATTGTATGTATATCAGTGACTTGAGGGTCAACCCTCAAGTTAACCCTCAAGTCAACCCCAAGGGTCTGATCTCCGGGTAGACCCTACAAGTTCAGTCTCCAGCTACATATTTAAATACATAATTAGCATGAATGGGATAACAACTTTGTAATAACTTTTACACAAACTTTCTAATAAATGTTACCAGATTGTAGGGACCCTTAATACATGTTACTATTCAGTTTAGACCTATGCTTCAAGGTCAATGGTTGAGTCAGAAAATGCAAATTACTGACCCAACCCTGAGTTTTCAAAACAGTGGTAGGGTCATATCTTAATGAGTTCTTATCCGTTCCTAACATGTTATATATGAGCAGGAAGGTGTTCAATTGGCCTATAAACTGGTATTCAACATAAAGTTCATTGTATACAAAACCACAGACTTTATTACAAAATACATTTTGACTATTAGATTGTTAACCCAATTACTTGATGGTTTCTAGGCTGTTCATCAAAAGTTGGATATGGTCAGAAAGGTATTTCCAAATTCTACAAACTTGATTTCAACCCTGATATGGTTGATTACAAAACCACAGACTTTCACTACAAGTCAAGGTTTATTGAATTGACTTCAAAATCCAAAGTCAACCAAATGACTCCATATTGCACATAGTAGTAGAGCTTCATTGATTGAGTAAGTGTTCAGTTCAAACCTATTCAAAATTTATGATAGTTGACTCACAAAAGGTGAAATACTCCCAAAATATTGGCTTTGTTAGTTTAGGGCTAGCCTGGCTCAAATAGTATTAACACTATATTGTTGTGAATTTCCCCTTCCTGTTCACTGCTTACCACTTGTATGATAGAGCACAGGTACAGGTCTGGGTCTGTTTAACTTGACTCAGACCCTGACCCTGACCCTGACCCTGATCCTGACCTTGACCCTGACTGTCAGGGTTCAGGTTGGGCTGTGCCAGGCTTCTCTTGAGAAACATGTACCCAGAACAGAACAGATGAATTGTCGGGCCATAAGTATGGCGGGCGGGTTCAAGTCGAACCAAAAGGGCCCATTAAAGTCAGTGTTGGGTCTGACACATCTTTCTTGGTCACGTGCTTTCTATGTGTGCATTCCCCCCTATTAGGGTGTCTGTTCCTGTCATTACATACTGTGTGTTGCGGGCCTTTGGTGGCCTGATACCAGTGCTGGAGAGGACAGGCCTTACACTTTGAACTTAAATGCGCATTTGTAGGGTTGAGCACAGGTCCGGGTCTCAGAAGGCTGACCCTGACCCTGACCCTGACTAACCCTGACTCTTCTGGATACAAGTCCAACCGGGTCTGGGTTGACCCACGGGTTGCAGACAGGGAAGCAGAAGATGTATTTGGAACAATAATTTCAACATAATATACATTTTACTATATGATATTGGCTCAGATATAGTATATGTAGCCTATTCCTCAAGAATTTAAGGATATTGAATACAATCTACTCATATGTCACATGTCACTTGAGTGACTTGAGTGACATCTGATTTTTTTGTCTCTTAAAAAGTCGTAAAACATATTTAGATAGGAAATTATTAAATCACAAAAACTTATTGGACCCTCCAGGTTGATTCAGAAGGGTCCGGGTTTGGCCGGATTCAAGAATTGGTGTATCTTGATCCTGACAGACCCTATCTTGAAACCCCTGCGAGTTGACCCTGACCTCTGCTCTACCCTACATGGTATTTGGTTCGGTCCAGTTCAGCTTCAAACTGGAAGGCCAAACCGGATACCGCCATCGCTACATCCTGATCCTCTTCATTGTCCACATTTTACTCTCCTGGACAGCACGAGTGGAGGGTTGAAGTGATAGAGGGTTTCATGTTAGAATGTACAAACGAACTGAGAGAGAGGTATATACCTCATTCATTATATGCATATCTATATGTGCAAGATGAGGGTAGAGTACAAGTCAGGTAGGGTTTGTCAGGTTCAGGGTCAGGGTACACCAACCCTGACCCTGACCCTGACCCAGAGACCCAGACCTGGTTGGACCTATACACAGAAGGGGCAGGGTTTGTTAAGGTCAGGGTCTGCCTTTCTCTCAAGACCCAGACTCGGCAGCCCTAGTGCCAACAGTAATGTTATTAAAGCTATCATAATCAATATGAAACAGAGGGTAGATAGTGGGAAAGCAAAGGATACATCAGGCTTTAGATCAATCAGGCCATGCAAGTTTTTTCTATGAAACATGGACCTGGAACAGAACAGATGCTGAGTCAAGTTGAGTTGTTAGAGCCTAGTGAGTCATTGATGCCTTCTTGTATAGAGAGAAATCAAGTCAACCTTCCCTAATAGAGTCAGGTTTAAGTAGGATCAGGGTCAGGGTCAGGGCAGTCTTGACTTTCCTTATTTCTGCTGTTACCCAAAAAAGGTAATGTGGAGCTGAGTGGAGCACCACTGGCAAATGACTCAATGAGCATATGCCTGTAACCCTTGGACATATGAGTAGATTGTATTCAATATCCTTAAATTCTTGAGGAATAGGCTACATATACTATATCTGAGCCAATATCATATAGTAAAATGTATATTATGTTGAAATTATTGTTCCAAATACATCTTCTGCTTCCCTGTCTGCAACCCGTGGGTCAACCCAGACCCGGTTGGACTTGTATCCAGAAGAGTCAGGGTTAGTCAGGGTCAGGGTCAGGGTCAGCCTTCTGAGACCCGGACCTGTGCTCAACCCTACAAATGCGCATTTAAGTTCAAAGTGTAAGGCCTGTCCTCTCCAGCACTGGTATCAGGCCACCAAAGGCCCGCAACACACAGTATGTAATGACAGGAACAGACACCCTAATAGGGGGGAATGCACACATAGAAAGCACGTGACCAAGAAAGATGTGTCAGACCCAACACTGACTTTAATGGGCCCTTTTGGTTCGACTTGAACCCGCCCGCCATACTTATGGCCCGACAATTCATCTGTTCTGTTCTGGGTACATGTTTCTCAAGAGAAGCCTGGCACAGCCCAACCTGAACCCTGACAGTCAGGGTCAAGGTCAGGATCAGGGTCAGGGTCAGGGTCAGGGTCTGAGTCAAGTTAAACAGACCCAGACCTGTACCTGTGCTCTATCATACAAGTGGTAAGCAGTGAACAGGAAGGGGAAATTCACAACAATATAGTGTTAATACTATTTGAGCCAGGCTAGCCCTAAACTAACAAAGCCAATATTTTGGGAGTATTTCACCTTTTGTGAGTCAACTATCATAAATTTTGAATAGGTTTGAACTGAACACTTACTCAATCAATGAAGCTCTACTACTATGTGCAATATGGAGTCATTTGGTTGACTTTGGATTTTGAAGTCAATTCAATAAACCTTGACTTGTAGTGAAAGTCTGTGGTTTTGTAATCAACCATATCAGGGTTGAAATCAAGTTTGTAGAATTTGGAAATACCTTTCTGACCATATCCAACTTTTGATGAACAGCCTAGAAACCATCAAGTAATTGGGTTAACAATCTAATAGTCAAAATGTATTTTGTAATAAAGTCTGTGGTTTTGTATACAATGAACTTTATGTTGAATACCAGTTTATAGGCCAATTGAACACCTTCCTGCTCATATATAACATGTTAGGAACGGATAAGAACTCATTAAGATATGACCCTACCACTGTTTTGAAAACTCAGGGTTGGGTCAGTAATTTGCATTTTCTGACTCAACCATTGACCTTGAAGCATAGGTCTAAACTGAATAGTAACATGTATTAAGGGTCCCTACAATCTGGTAACATTTATTAGAAAGTTTGTGTAAAGTTATTACAAAGTTGTTATCCCATTCATGCTAATTATGTATTTAAATATGTAGCTGGAGACTGAACTTGTAGGGTCTACCCGGAGATCAGACCCTTGGGGTTGACTTGAGGGTTAACTTGAGGGTTGACCCTCAAGTCACTGATATACATACAATATCTCTTACAATTTCTCCAATGTATATACTGACAGTTTTAATCACAATTTCTGGCATGAATAAATTTGAGATTTCAACAATGATTTCATTGTACTGTAAATCTACAGTTTCAGCAGTGGAGAAATGTAAATAGAAACAAAGAGAATCTATGTGCATTTCTCCACTGCTGATTTCCTTTGTATCATCTGTGCTGAAACTGTCAGTGAAATCCTTTGTTTCACTGTCAGTTTCGCCACATTTGATGTGCGTGATATCATGACCAAATATATGTGCACAGATATCAACCATTTCAGGCATAGTTTCAGTCCCATAGATAGTTTTCATCTCAGACTGCCTAAAACTAGTATATATTTGACTAAAATCATTCTCAGTTTCAAAAATGTATATTTTGGGCAAATCTCCATAGGTTGATTTGGTTCTAGATTCTACCAGAATCTAGCACAGTTTCTACTTCAAGGGATATTTTACCAAATCCGGTGTGCTCACCCTGACACAGTAAATCCCGTTCCCACTTCACACGCACGAGCTACCTTATCCCTTATCCAACACTCGAAGTTTTGTTGAATGACGAGCTCGATGTCAGAAAGCGTTCTATACATCCACCACCATGCCATCGGTAGAGACAGCAAAAAAATCTTCAAAGACACGGCCGTGTCAAAGAAAGATATACGAGAAAACAAAAAGAGAACGCATAACGCGTGTCAACAATGCCACCACCACGACGGAGAAGAGGGAGTAACTCTGCGGCAATGTTCACAAGTGTGTTTTTCTTTTGGATATGCTTATCTTTGAACTGTGGTAAGTATTGTAGTGTAAGGCCGTGTGGTATTGCTCCAAAGAAGTAAGCACCTGTAACTCCAGCCTCCCTGGTCTAAAAGCCTTTTTTCAAGTGCCAAAAGAGACATTGGTGACTCTTCGCGTCAAGGTAAAAGTAGACATACTCAATGGCTTTTTCGGTTTTGCAAGGCCAGAACACAAAAAACACTGCCAATTCTCAGAAGGCGAAGGCATCACGAAAATTGTTCAAAATTTCACTGCTAACGACGTGCTGAACGAATACCTCCAAGCAATCTTTATTCAAACGTTTCCTGCCCTGTTGGACTCGCCAACCCAGTGTCTTTCGACTGCATTCGTCGCGCGCGTCGACATTGGTTTCGAACCAGTTGATATTCCGGACTTTTTCAGAATTTTCAACCACGAGTTGGATGCGCCTGACCCTCGAAAGGCTCCTGTCCGGGGAATGCTCCAGTTGAATGGGTTTACAGCTCTTTGTTCAACCACTGGGTTTGGCCTCCGGCTGGAAGACCTTGCTCGCACGAGACGTATGGTGTGGGAGTCGGTACGAGAGGAAGGTGGCGCCGCTGACCCGTCCGAACCGGTGGCTATCGTCGAATTGGGAAGAGGCAACTTGGGACAACAGATAACTTTCGCATTGCCGATATCAAAAGCAGCTTCATACACCGTGCGCCAGGCGTCGCCCTGGAACGTTCAATCGGCCATTACGGGGCGAGTAACGCAAACGTCTTTCAGCATCGATAGTTGCCTTGAGTAAGTGACATGAAAAGTACGCCGAGGGTTGTCCCGATTCGACCCATCGGCAGGTTTATCAACTCGCACATTAGAGCAGACAAGCAAAACCGGTTTTCTTTGAGGACCAACCTGCTTCAGCAAGACGTTCAGGTGATTCATGACGCGTCCAACAATGATCCACCAAGTCGTGGGGCACAACTCCTACGTGCTCGGATGGCCAAAGAACGAATATTCAAACCTGTCGCAATGCCAGCCATCGCACGAAATGGCAAGATAGTGCCGATTTCTCCAGCTGGAAGGATGGCTATAGACTGAACTGAAATTGGTGGATTTGAGTCGTGACATATGTAGTTCATAAAGCCGTTGTCCAAGACCTTAAAGTGTATGTAAACAAGCCGATTCCGAGAAAATATGCCGCGTATATTGCTGCAGGGGGTTCACAAATGAGAAGCGTGTTGGACAAGCACCCACATAAACGATATCTTGGCATGCGCCGCACCTCGGCCCCAAGTTCGGGAACTCCCATGATGTTGCAGAAGATGTGTGCTGTAAGCGGAGGAAGGACAGAGTTTGAGCGGAGGAGAAGGAATGAGGCATGTGCACCGAAAATTGTCGTGTACGCAGTTTGGAAAACTGAGGAATGTCAAACCCAAGCCAGAGTTTGGGGGGAGATGCATACGCGTTGTCAGTGCTGCACGACGAAAAGCGGTTTTGGTGCTTCCAAACCGGCGGAAAACGTCGATTCCATGGTGAACATGGGCTTGAGGAGGAGTCAGAAAAGGATCATTCTCCAAATGGCACTCACCTAAACCAAACAACAATGGTGCAAATGTAATCATTTTCCAGTCGGCCGCCCCGTTCATCGTATATACTGCAAGGATGCAGGAGCGGAAGACGATCTCCTCTGTCAACGGAGCCTTGATCACGAATATCAGCGAGGATTCGGTGCCCAGTATCGTTTGCACTACTCACCCACACATAGTTTCGGAATCCTATCCAGGTAATCCAATTGCCTGAAACTTGCTGACGGGAACCTAAAATGCGGTCCAGAAATGCCGCATAAAGCGGTCCGATGAAAAGCAGTTGGGTTTGAAGGCATGGATAGACGCTCTGGGGGAGCGTGAAACCTAATGCGCGCAGAGTGGCTGCTGTCCATGGCCACTAAAAGAAAGACACTCATCCCGGAACGCACAATATCTTGCGAGAAGACATACCAATGGGGCAGCTGGAGAAGTCAGACGATGAATTACGAGACAGCTAGCAGTAGATACGACAGTGACGGCGGCCAGTCGCGAGCGAATAACATGTGCCTCATCCCGCGCTCCAGACTGAAACTTCCCAACGGCGTAGAGTGAGGTGACGTAGGAAGCTGAGAAGGAGAAAGCAAGCAGGTGGGCGACCATCGTGGGTAGTAAAGCGGGCGATGGGACATGTGCCGCCATTTGAAGACAATAGAACGTCTCCAAGGCGCGTCAGACGGACTGCGATCACATGCTTTGACACGGTCACGTCTTTGTGTTTCAAAACAAGCTCGTGCTCAGTCCATCTTGATTACAATCTCAACTTTGCAAGCAACTGTTTTACTCAAGGAAAGGATGGGCCAGACATTTTTATATTAGCATCGGGTCATCTCGAGGCTCGCATCACGTGTGCTCAAAGATGAAAACGCGTTACACATAGGGTGGACCAAGCACTGAGAAGTCAGTCGATTTCCTTCAAATAAGGGTCTTCGCTTACTTGTTCTGAACATGCCTAAAACCCCTTCTACCACCAAGAGTAAGACGCCACCTCCAGGCGCTAATCGAAGGACTTTGGGTACGAATCCCTTGTACAGCGCACTGGCACCCTCTTCACGGAAAATTGTGACTAGGGCGGGGTAAGTCCAATTGTATTTGGGTTTGACGCCAGGCGCCTTTGCAGCGCCTTGGATGCGGGATTTAACGACATCGAAGCTGAAATTGGAAGGTTTGAGTAAGCGGATGATAAAATAGCATGAAAATAACAAACGGAGTGTTCACTACAGTGCCCGCAAAACCGCCAATCGCGCCAGAAACAAAGTTGTTGAAGAGAGTGCCTTGAGGGGTCTATGCCATGTTCATGATTCAAACTTCAATGAAGAACCAGATACCTCAGGCTTGGGAAGCGTAGCTCGGACTTGGTATATGCAGCCAAAATATCCACCATTCCACCAGACATGCCTATGTGTAAAAATGTTCACTTTGAATTGGAACATGCAGGTGCACATACCGCCAAAAGGTGCTTTCCATTCCAGCGTAGAGACCTAACAGTCCATCCGTTGCAATTATATGTCGCACTACTGCCATAGGTCCGGCAAAGGTGCTCGTTTTGTCTTGTAGTTTGATTTTCACAAGTTCGAACGGGACAACGACAAAACTTTCCTGGAGACGTGTGAAAATGGATGGGCGTGAGTTGGGAGAAGTACAGACTGTTGCACCAGCACTGCAGCCAGTGAGAATTGAGAGATTAGGCGTCATCTTGGATTCGCCGGAGTATGCGAGATAGGTATTCCCCCAGAAATCGTTGGCGGCGCTATAATGCTTGTGTAAGATCTGACTCGCGTCTTGAGTTGGCGCACAATTTTACAGCCCGCTTCGGGGCCTCTAAAAGAAGCGGTGGAACGAGCCCTACCAGTTCATAGTTGGCACATGAGGAGGAGGACTCTTGGATAGACGTACCTCGATACAAGCGACCAAAACTAGAGGGAGAAATAAGGCGGTGGGATGAGGTCGTATAGAGTCATACCCCTCTTCTCGTATAATGGTACGAAAGCTCCCAACAAGACCTTGACTGGTTGTACCCGTCTCCAACTGCATCCTCGTTTTCACCTAGCGGTTGGTCATGGGTGTGTTGCATGGAGCACGCTGTAACTACGCACAACATCTATGGAGCAGTGAGAAAAGACTTTGTCCTAAGGAAACAACGTACCGAGAGGATAAAATGTTAAAATTTCGGAAATGCCTGCGATGGCGCCAGCAGCGAAGTTGGCAATGAATGGTAAAGCTGGCTCCGATTTACGTAAGAAGGGTATATGGCCGTGTAGCGACCATACGTTTTCTGTCTGCGGAGGCAGCCATTAGAATCACGTCGAGTTCTCTGGATGGCAGGCGGGAAAAGAGAAAATATAGCTCGGATGATCCTGTTGCGTTGTGACGCGCTGGATGTCACATTCTATTCTCTGCTGCAGATTCAGGTCTGACTGAACTTGGGTCTCGAAGAGACACTGTTCAATCCTCAAACCACAATTTTTCTGTCACCTCCTAGAATCGCATCCAGTGGCTCGTCTGTAAATCGGGACGAACAGTCTAAGCAAACATGATATCGGAACTCGAGTCTTGTTGCGCCGGGCTTCAGGCTGGAAAGCCCTCTTGTATGCTGGTAGTGTTAGTCTCTTCGATCAGCTTCCTCCGATACTAGTGCTCCACACGCAACCTCTCGGTTCAACACCTTCACTAGCGTGGAATTTGTTCTACATATTTGCCCCGGAGCGTCCGAGTCACTTGCTGTATCTCAGAATACTATCCAAAGCTGAGGACCGTGTATGTGTTGTATCTCGTCGCTGATGCTGCGGATATCTTCGCCGTTCATCAACCACTCGTTCAGATCCAACTCTATGTCTCCTCTGTTGGCATCTGAATCATGCGAGGATTCCGCCGAAAGATAACTTAAGATCATGGTCAGCGGAGCATGACTTACGAGTGTTAGGAGTCGGACTTGACTTGACCATCTGTGGATTTATACCACGATGTATCAAACGGTCCCTTTACGGCCAATTACCTGTGTTGGCATGTCCTTGGACTGGCGATGCCCTACATAAATCATTGTCTCCTGTTGGTGATCAAGTTCTCTGGAGTGAATATTCAAACGAACAAATAGACCGTCGTCGCATCGAGGTCACCTCGGTACATCGAGGTGACATTGTTGTTGCGGCCCTCGGAAAAATACGCTGATCATGAATTCCTCTCTGCAGGTGCATCAATGACGTTCACAAATTTGGTTATCTGAGATTACTAGTTCCGATCCCATTCAATCAACTTCCTCCAATGCCGCTTCTTTGAGACATGTGGAGGTGATAACTCACCCAACCTCAAAACAAACAACAATGGCTGGTTTGGAGTTTTGAATAATGTAGGAAGGTTTCACGTTGATCATCTTGGGGTCCCAGAGAGCGGACCGTAACCATTTTTTGCCCTCGGGCGATGCTATAGCTGACGCAGTGGAACGCAAATCATCGACCCACCCGATTTGGGTGAGGCTAACAACGACGATGTAACATCAAGGTCACACATGCTTCGACCTTGTTCTTCGAACAACGATGCAGCAACGGCCTTCGACCTCTAGGATACAGCAATTGATGACCCTCGCTCAACCCATTCAATCCCTTTGCACGGGGCTGTTGAGATGACTTCCTGCCGTATGGGCAGCAGCCAGCTATTTCAGGAATTGAACGCCGAGCCTGGCTACCAGTTCACCACCGAATATCGAAGGCTCCCAGTATCAAAACGACCACGCTCTGGAACAACACGAAAGAGATCGTGACCTAAGCGGCCGAGGTTTTGCATATGCTCAAAGCATCATGAGACTTTCGAGTGCGTCCGTTATAAGGGTCGGTAATGAGTGCTGAAAGGCAAGGCGGAATCTCGAGTTCACCCCCTACCCCATGATGAAGGCTATTTTCACTTCCCTCAGTCTTGTTGCGGCCGCATCTGCGCGCACCATCACTGTCTACAACGCTTGTCCATTCACTATCTGGTTGGTCGTCAGCTCATCCTTGTTTGCGCACAATTTCTGATTGTCCCACTCAGGCCAGCGCTTTTCACGTCGGCCGGAGGCCGTCCCTCTCAACCCACGGGATGGTCCGCCGGATCGTTCACCAAGGTCACCTTCTCGGTCCCCGATCAATGGTAGTTCGTTGAAATCTCGGCTTGTATGCTGCTGACACATTGATCACAGGAATGGTCGTATCTGGGTGCTTTCTGACTTTTGTGCCGCCAACCGCAGAATTCGCTAATCGGTATCAGGGTCGTCGCAACTGTAACTTCTCCTCCAACCCTGGACCCAACTCTTGCCTCGATGGTGGCTGCAACGGTGGTCTTGTACGTCGTTTTTATCGGATGCCTTGGTATAAACTCATGATGGCTCTATAGCTTTGCGACCCCAACACCGGCACCGGCGTTCCTCCCGCTAGTCTTGCCGAGTTCAACCTCAACGCTGGTGGTGTTGATTACTACGACGGTGTGCTGATATCATTTATCGTTATCGCATGCGGTTGACGGTTTGGCAGTCTCGCTCGTGGACGGTTACAATCTGCCCATGCGTATTGACAATACCGCCGGCTGCCCCGTTGGCTCTTGCGGTGTCGACCTTGGCCCTAATTGTCCATCCGAGTTGAAGGTCCGCTTTCTGACTTCTCCCACGCTCGTTGTTGCTCACCTTGTGAACAGGGCCCCTTTGATTCCACTGGTTTGTGGTATCACTGCACGTACATACAGTGATTGTGACCATAAGTGCAGGTTTCCCTGTTGGGTGCAAGTCTGCTTGTCTTGTTGATGCACAGAACGGCCGTGCTGGCGACTCGCCCAATTGCTGCAGCGGCAGTCGTATGTTCATCCCCCTTTCACTGCTCAGTCTAAGCTCACCGCATAAACAGACAACACCCCTGCCACTTGCCCAAGCTCCGGCGTTAGCCACTACGACTACTTCCGTGCGTTACTTCAGTTACGACAGCACGACCACAGTTTACTAGTGTTTATGCAGACAACAACTGCCCCACCGCTTATGCATACGCCTACGACGACAAGAACGCTCTCTTCACTTGCCCCGCATCCAAAGCCGCCACCTACACTGTTACCTTCTGTCCTTGAGACCTGGTAACGTTGAGTGGATGCTTTGCCTTGCACATCACCAACAGCAGAATCACTGAGGGCACTCATATAAATTAGCGCTTTTTCTGATCCTACAAGTTCTAAATATCATTGCGAAAATGTAAACAAATTGATTATTGCACCATCATACCGCAAGATGCCGCCCTGCCAGTCACGCCAGTCATGGTCCCTTCTCGTCACTCCCGGCATCTTCCCGAGCTCGTCAAACAAAATCCCACATCGAATGCTCAGAGCCCGCTCTTTCTGTCAACCATGAGTGGCACTAACCAGCCAATGTTCAGTGTTTCGAGTTCCGACCAGCACAGCAACACCTACGAACGCCATGATTTTGTCAACCGTAAACCGATGATCCAGTTTACCCTTCAGATTACGACTTCGTTCTTGTCCTCTAAATCTGTTTCTTGACCCTGAGTTCCATCATTCCTGAAATTAGCCCTCAGGCTGGCATGGTATGATTTTGACACGCTTATCTATCCACTGCGTGTCTTACGGTTACCAAATGGCAAATATGAACAGCTCAATCATGATAATGCCTCTGTCTCGTCACGGTGCCTTTCGGACGTCTTCTCTCGCTCCCCACATCTTCAAGTTCATTATGCTCGCTAAACTGGTTGTTCTCTTTGCTTCATTCATGAGGATATGTGGCTCTGTAACTCATACAGTAGGTAAATGTATTGTTTCCTTTCTGAAGCTAAGCCCGTTCCAGGTCACAGTCGGTGTTGAAGGAAGCTTCTTTAATCCTCCAACCATCTCTGCAAGCCTCGGTGATATTATCTACTTCATATTTGGTGGGGACTTCCACTCGGTCACGCAAAGCTCATTTGATTCCCCTTGTATCCGACTTCCTGGTGGCTTTGATAGTGGCTTCCAGGGCCGAGGCCCAACTTTCATTGAACCCACCCCAACATGGAGCATAACGATCACTAACATTTCTCAACGTACGTATCCTCCATATGTGTGATAAAAGACACTCATCCAACCTGTCTACAGCGATTTGGTTTTTCTGTGCGGCCAGCGTACCTACCTCGCATTGTGAATCCGGGATGGTTGGGTAAGTATACGTGTTACTTGAAGGTTCCCATGAAGTATGATACTTTTTTGTTGAACCTAGGGTCATCAACCCGCCTTCTATCGCTATGTACGAACAATTCGTTTCCGTGGCAAAGGCAGTGACCAGCACACCCAAGGTACGTCAAATTTAACTCAGCCTTTAGCTCTGTTTTACCAGTGATAGCCGACACCTACCTTTCTTCCTTCTGGCCAAGGCGCAATCGCCACCGCTCCTCCTATGCTATCTTCTCTACCTCTGAGCTCTTTCGCATCCTCTGCCTCCTTCAGGCCTATCAATCCCTCCTCGTCGACCACGGGAACTGACGCAACAGCGTCCTCAATAGCATCTGTTCACCGTAAACGGATTAACGTAGGCCTCATTGCGGGTTGCGCGACCACAGGCGGTCTTGTAATTCTCGGCCCTATTTCATTTATCTACTACTTCCTCACGCGTCGCAAGTTGAAGTCATACCATGACGATTTTCGAGAGGCAGAACATCCACAGCCCCAGATGGAATCCCGTTCCAATTCTGGTGTGGCGTCAGGTCCACCGGCGTCCTACCCCCCCATTGAAAAACGAGGTCACCCGCAGATCAAGCCTCTGAATTCTTTACGATCCCCGCGGCCGCTCCCCCGTCCTCCGGGAAGTGTATCTCTTTCGAGTGATATGGATTCGGGATTGCAAGTGACTAGCACTAGTGAGCTACTCCATACTCTGTTCTAGTCAGGTTTAACTTCGGGCTGACCTATTTTATATTTTAGACTTTCGGCCCATGAGTCCTGATTCGAGCCAATGGTATGACCATGATCCTTCTCAAGAGAGCGGCGAAGGCGGACATGGAAGTGTTGCCCCTCCCTATAGTAGTCATACATTGTGATTCGGTGGATCACTGCAGAGGAAACCAAAAATTTATCTGTTTTTATTCCACTGGAATATAACGACCCTGAAAAGAAAGAAAATATATTCCCTGCTGAAGGTCCCTACAAGGAAACACGCGGTCTCTGTACGCACGTGAATCTTCTGCGAGGGCAACACTACTGTAATTACTCAGGCTGTAGATTTCCAGAGCGAGCGATTGACATTTTCCATGATGATGATCGGTGATCATGACGAGCGATCCGTCAAAAGTGCTTGAGCTGACGTCATTCAATGCCCTGACTTTATTGCACAACATGTCCTCCTACTCGTTTTATCCCCCTTGTGTCAACGATGAACGCTCGCCCTGCCCTGGATTGAACACGCTTGCGAACCATGGCTACATGTGTGTGTGGTGTACTGGAATGGAGAGTTAACCGGTGCTCACTTTACGACAGAGCGCGCAACGGCAAAAGTGTCGCGTTCATACAGCTCTTCCTGGCAGTCAAGACCGTCTATAATCTCAGCATTCCGCTTTCACTTTTGCTCACGATGGTGGGGTTCATAACTTGCGCCGACTTCAAGGTGTCTCGGCCATACGACGGGAAGGTTGGTTGGCAGTGGCCCGTTTCGTGGACCCTTGATCTTGGAAACCTCGCAAAAGAAGGTGTCATGAGTTTGGCTCATGGCGCTTCGCTTGTTCACAGTTCTCCGATCTCGAGAGACGCGCCGGATGCGAAATTGTTATGGAATGTGCTGCAAGTGGCTGAAGTCGAAGGCGGCCTTTCCCTCCATTCGCTGGCCAAGATTCATGCCTCACGTATTCGAACACTTGGCCACAAACTCGACGGGTTTCACGCACAAGTCGCAGCAGGAGAGGTCGCTTTGGCGTGGTTGGTTATGCGTAATCCACAAACTGGATTGATTGAGGTGGATAAGTTGGAGTCGTGGTTCAAAGAGGAGAAGTTGCCGAGGGATTGGTGGAATGGGCGTCGCTCGCCTAAGACAATACTCTTACTTCAGGCCAGAGAGACGGCAGACAGGTTTCAAAGCATGGCCAAGATGGTTTAATCGCGTTACTTGTTGGATGGTAATAAGTCAATTGGAATATATTTAGCTTGAGTCTTTCATCAGACTTGGTAGCGTATAAGACACAGGCGAACTACATAAAAACATCGCACAGAAACTCATTCCCTTCTCAGTAAGTACAATCTAGCCCAATCCCTTATCGACCGTTGTCAGTGATCGTGTGATGTGAAATTCGCTTGCAGATCCCACATGACTGCCAGTGCTCATAAAAAGCAAGTTCTGAAGGATGCATCTCCCATCTTCACTACCTTCACAAGACTGCGTCTTTCTCCCTTTTCTTCTCTATTTTTCTGTTCTTCCTGCTCGACCAACTTGAAGTTCCCCATCATGCGTTTCCAATTTACGCTTGCCATCTTGATTGCGTCGGTATCCGCTCGCCCAAGTGCGTATTGCGTATTTTTCTTCTCATAACCCGTTTTTCTGAACTCGAAACTTAGTTCTTGTCGACCGGGGCATATTTGACAAAACCTCCGTAATCTCCTCTACGAAGCATATCAATGCACCCGTAGAGACCGTCATTGCAACCTTGCATGACTTTCCGACCATGATCAACCTCAACCCACTGGTCACCTCCTCTGTCCAAGACCCAGCTAACCCAAACAAGTTCACTATCACGGATAAACTACCACTATTTTTGGGTCTCAGCATTCCCACGACCTATGTTGCTACATTCAAGACGGTGGAAAATGGCATGGACACAGACAACAGCGCCCAAGCCGGTGTCTCGCTTCACAACGAGTGGAGGGCTGTAGCAAACAAGAATGGTGGTACCGATTTAACGGAAACTGATACCTTGACCGTACGCACCTGATCAGCTACAACTGCGGGTTTCTAACCTTTTTGCAGACCAACTTCCTTCTGTCGGGTATCGTGACCAAAGAGCTCACGGAATCGCACAACAAGCTGATGGATACACTTGCAGCCAAGCTGGAGGCTAAAAAGGCATAATAATTTGAACTCGCATTTACTGTCAACGTATTTCGTTTTATATAGTATAAAATCTGCACACTCCTTACATCTCCTAGCTCGTGATCAATGTGTTACTGTTTCATTAACTAGATAGTGTAGAGATAGTGAAAGTACTATAGACAAGGAATAAATATGCTCGATAGATACGTGAGAGGGAAAATAAGTTAGATGGGTTGGCGATACAGAAGAGGACGAAAGCAGGTAAGAACGTACATGACTGCGATTAAACCCTGAGGGTGAATTAGCAATAAAGAAAATCGAAAGCTATGTCTGATGGGAAGTCAGACTGTGTTGACATGTTGTGGGTGTTGGTAATAATCTGAAGCCGTTGATGGTGCATAAGCCTGCTCCATGACATATAACTTTTCAAACTGGGCCGGAACGGTTTGGGCATGAGGATGTTGTTGTTGAGGTGGCAAGTCTGTAGCATACATGCCAGGCGAAGTCGTGAATGGTTGTGGAGAACCAGTTCCGGTGAATGCTGCTGGTGATTCCGACCTATACATTGCGTATTGCCCTCCTTGTTGCCCATCTCCATCGAGTGTCATCATTTGCCGCATCTGATCACCCAATCCACTCCCGCTGTTGCCACTACCACTCAAATTTGAGTTGCGTGAATCAGACCGCCGCAAACCGTAATCTGGTGCCAGGGGCAGATGGTTGTTGAACGATGGGCTTGAGTGGGTGCTGCCTGCACGTGAGCCTGATGCAGAACCCGGGTAGGCGTATGGATGATATCCGCGGGACGGTGAAGCACCAACAACCCCAGGAAATTCACCGCTGTTGGATGTGAGCGGCCGACGTATAGGATCGCCGTTGCGAGCGAGGGAAGGAGTCATGCTTCTATGTCTTCGGACGGCACCTCCTCCACTGGACTCGACTATCATTCCAGGAGGGTATAACGAGCTGTGATCAAATGCTTGTTTGTGTGAAGGCGCAGAGACTGATGTCATATCGTACAAAGAGCCGCTGGATGACCCAGAAGAATGGCGGGCGAACTGGGTGGCTGGCGGAGGTGGGGAAGGAACACTCATAGTGCTATAGGCAGGGCTACCAGATTGGGATGATCGGAGGGTTGCCCATTGAGGATGATCATTCGTGCTTCTGGAACCGAAAGAAGCACTTGTCGCTGGTGCGGAACCTGGGTAAAACGCCGTTGGCTGGGGCATCATTAGACCTTCCTCGTCGCCGACAACTTCCCTGACATCGCCGGGAACCTCGACCTCGCACATTTGAACATCGTAGGCGTTCAATTGCCTAGCCCCCGCTCCAATGCCACCAACACCGCCAGCCATACCCATACCCATCCCGATCCCAGCAGAGCCACCATACATCTCAAGATTCATGCCAATGCCGCTGGTCTGATCATCATCACCAGCTAATTCATCGATTTCTTCTCCCCCACTTTCATCCTCACTGGTACCGCCACTGGCCCAGGCCTCGCCACTCCCTGCAGTCCCTTCCGCACGAACATGGGTTCGAACATGTTGATTCAAGTTGTCGCTTCTTGAGAACCGCTTGTTGCATCGCGGACACGCAAACGGTCGCTCCATCGTGTGGGTGCGAAGATGTCTCCTGAGGTGTTCCATGCGCTTGAAGAGTCGACCGCAAGAAAACAAGGGACATATGAATGCTTTGGTTTTCAGTTCGGTAGGATTGTAGGAGGATGCGGGGAATGACGCTGGAGCATAAGTTGTCGAGGTTGACTGTGTTTGGGCCTGAGCGGCTTGCTGAGCTACGACTTGTTGATTCGCAGCATATGCCTCGCGCATGGTATCCTCGTGGCTTTGTTGGATAGCAGCCAGTATGTTGGGATGTTGTAGCTGCTCAGCATGACGATTAGGGTAGACTCGGCCTGATCGCAATTCACCCCTCGCTTGCATCATAAACATATCTGCAGCACTTAATCCAGCCACACCGGCCATTGGGTCGTTTGACGTTCCAGGAACATATCTCCCCACAGATCTCCCTCGCCTTTCCTCTTCGTCCATCGCGAAGGCGGGACCAAGATTTGATGGCTTCGTTTTATTTTTCCGTCGTTGTTTATATGTTGGACTGCCTTCGAATAATGAAAACATGGCGAAGAACGGCGTGGAGCTTGCATTTACGCCGTCGTCGTCGCGTGAGCCGACAGAGGGGTTACGCGACCCTGCGGGCGACGGATCCTCATCGCGCCCACGATTGAGGACGAACTGCTCGTATAGCGACTTTTTATTATCGTAAGTGAAGGACAGCGCTGGTTCCCCTGTGATCTGTGGATAATGTGAGGATCTGGATGATGGCAACTTACGAGCCTACCTGAGTGGTGGGTTCCAATCCCATTTTCTCGCGTTTCAAATCGCGTTCCAATGCATCAAGGAACAGTCGATCGTGCGGCACTGAGAACCTGAAAATGGGTTTGCCTTAATAATGACAAAGAATCACAATGAGCGTACCAGTAGAATACTTTCTGCTTCTTCTGCGTGCGTATGCATTGGTATTTGAATAGAAGATCGAGAAACGGCGACTGAGAAAAACGTTAGCATCCAAGATGATATTGTTGCACTATCGGCCCTTGAGAAAAGGGGCAAACAGGGAAACTTCCAAGATACGCCGGGGATAAACACGATGGCAAGGTAAAGCAGAACGAACTTTAGGCTCTTCCAAACAAGCATCAGTCCCTGGCTTCAAATTCCTCAAGTCCGAAAAAACGCCTTCCTCGAACTTTTTCATGTTGCGTACTGGTCGAGAAAACGCCTGCTGCTTAGTTAGCACGCTTGACTAAGCAGGTGAATGTAACCACTTTCTTCAAAGCGGAATACTAGAGCGCGGACGATGTCGGTACCGGTGATGTGATAAAGCCCGTTCCATAATACGCACGATACGTACTCTTGAGATGGGAGGAGGAAGCGGTTAAGGGCAGGATGAGAAGTAGGAGTTATGGCGCTTGGATGGTGGCCCAGATGAGGACCTACCGAACTTGGTTAGGTATCCATTAGAACGAAGCAATCACAACCATGTCCGGCAAAAACGGAAATGATTGAAGGACTCACCGACGTCCATTTCGCCATCGACATCCCAGCGACTAGGTGCTGTAGCGAGAAAGAATTTAAGGCGGTCAAGAGTCTCAAGCCTTTCAGCCTCTTGTGGGGTTAAAGGCCTCGAAAGAGCCCCTGCCAAGGTACGGACTGTACCTCCATATGCGTCTGGATCGATGTGCTGAGGTGTTTGCTCCTCGGGGTCCGTTGTAAGAGGACCATTGGTCGTGATGAGGGTGTGGCTATTGCGCATGTTGTCCAAAGTTGCGGGGAGGGGTAAGCTCTGGTGGTGATGCGGATTGCCGAGAAAAGCGGCATGCTGGTGAGCATTGCCCGGTCTGGCGGTATGTTCGCCGCCTTCATCGGTCTCGACCCCCAATCCGGAATTGCTCGCCGATGGAGCAGAGGTTGAAAGTCCTAAGCTTGGGCGGGGAGAAGGGAGAGGGAGTGTATGTGAATGTGAATGTTGGTGGGCATGCATAGCAAGTGCGGTGTGTGGATAACCATAGCTCGGGTTCGCATTATGGCTACTACTTGACCCCGAAGCAAGTGAATCGGTGCTGCCGCTCGGAGTCGCCATGGCTGCGCCGTCCAAATGCAGAGATTATGCGTTCGTTGATATAGTTTTTCGTGAAGGAAACGAAGGATTGGGAGGACCAAGCTACGTCTTGAGCTTGTGGTAGCACTCTAGCCGACCTTGGAAATGAGGTAACACGAGTCACAATCGATCGAGATTCGAAGAAAATTCTGCACCGCCTTGACAGCTTCTACAGAAGGTACTCGTCCCAGACAGACATGCATGAATAGAGTTTACTAAGGCCAGATTGGACAAACTTTGGAGCACCTGCCCAGCCAGTATTTAGTAACAAAATACTTATCATGATATCAGGGCTTATAAATATATATAAATATTTATCTTATTACAAATCTAAAAGCCACAGTTGTCAGATCCCAAAGGACTGACACTTATCAAAATTAGCAAATACTGTCTTTCCTATATCTTCTTTGGTACTCAAATAGCTTAAATAAGTTGGTTTTCCCAAGTGTCTGCTATAGCCAAGATTCAGAAATATTACCTTGCAAATTCTTTGAGATTGTCAGGGGAACCCTGCTGTCTCCCTCAGACCATCTGAGCGCCTTCAAGGCATGTCAGACTGGTGCCCCCTCAGATGCTCTGACCTATCCCAACTATTGTCCATGGCCTCTTTTGTCCATACAATCACTGATCCGTCAAGACTCTCCTAATGATTACCTTGGGACAGAGCCTACGACACCGCTTATGTAAGGGCAACCCTGGAGACGATAACAAAAGCCTAGCAGGGGAGGATCCAAATGTCAGGGGAACCTCCCTTTCGGCCCCTCGGAGACGATTCCGATTCCGGCCCGACTCCGGCTCCGACTCCGGCGATCGCATCACCGCCTCCGTCAGGCGCATCGCCGCCCCCGCCTGGCGATCCCCCTGGGACCTGGCCTGCGACATGGCGCAGGCATACTGCACGGAGCAACGATCAACCTTGGCGCGTCAAGAGCGCAGTATATAGTTCCGCTACCTAGCAGGCGGACCCTTAGAGTTTCTTCTCTTTGGATCCTCCCCTGCTAGGTCAGCCTCACTTGTATTTGCTTACTTCTATTCACTCTTTGGATCCTCCCCTGCTAGGACCTTGATCTCAGGCCTCCGGGGTTGCCCTTACAGCAGAAGAAACTCTCTACGGGATCAACCGGACAAGATTGCTAGGTTCGGGCGCTGACTCAGGCTCGGGAATACGAGTCCGTTCCGCCCTCGTCACCGCCCCTACCACTTGTCCCCTCCTCCTCTGTCACTCCTGTCGTCCCCCGCACCTGTCATGCCTTCCGGAGCTACTCCTGACGCTGACACTCGGCTGGATGCACTCGAGGCGAAAATCGACCGCCTAACCGAGGCCCTTACTCTTCTCACCACCCAGGCTTCCGCTGCCGCTGCCGCCGCTAATACTGCTGGCGGACCCCAAACAACACCACCCCCGGAGACGTCGATTCCGACTCCGACTCCGGTCCAGGGCGATTCGAGGCCCTCTTTGGCGACATCAACCTCGCCTCAAAATTGGTCTTGCGACCAAACCCTCCGTTCACCTTCAACGGCGATCGGAAACGCGGCCGCGCGTTTCTCTATGCGGTCCACCTACGCCCGCCTTGCCCCTGAGGCCTTTGTGGTCAACGGAGAGGCGAGCGAGGAAAAGGCCGTCCGCTATGCCATGTCGTTTATGGCAGAAGGACCCGCTCAGCAATGGGCGGAGCGCCACGGAAGCAAAGCCCCGTTTCCGTTTCCGTCCTGGGGCTCGTTCGTTTCGAGTTCCGACTCCGGTTCGTCGAGGAGAATGAGCAAGATCATGCTCTCTCCAAGCTGGAGACTTCCGCCTATCACATGGGCACAAAGGATGTCTACCAGTACACCGACGACTTCGAGGACCTGATGGACCTCGCTGGATTCGAAGACGCGTTGGTCAAGGTGACCAAGTTCCGCCACGGACTTGACCCCCTGATCAACAACGGAATCACGTCCTCGAACGACCCCCGGACCTCCGGGACTACCTTAGCTGGCGCACCCGGGCCTTCCGTCAATACGAGGCCCTGGTCCGGGCCAAGCTGATCAAGTCAGCCGCCCCCAAGACGCCTGGCGGTTTGATTCGGACTCCGTTTCCGGTCAACCGCATCCCGGCTCCGGCCCCTTTCCGCCCGGTGGCCCCGGACGTGCCACCCCGGCCCGCGCCCCCGCCTCCGGTGCCTCCAGCTCCCGTCCCCATGGAGTTGGATCGCACTAGGGCTCGGGGTGCCCCTCGTCGCGCCTGCTTCAGGTGCGGCGACCCAACCATCTCGCCGGGATTGCCCCCCCCCCGGACGTCCGCTCAATGGACATCCTCGACGAGGTGATCCAACAACTCGGTGACGAGATGTTAGCGGAGTTGATCGCCCGCTACTCGGACACAGCCGCGTTGCCGGAAACAGCTGCGGAGTCGATGGCCGGAGAGGATTTTGTCCCCCGCGACGAGTGACTGGTGTGCCCTCGTTCGCGTCCATAAATCGTTTCGCTTGTTTGTATGACGAATCAATTCCTTTGCCCTACAACGAGCTTGAAACGAAAGACATACCCTCCCCGCCCCGTTTCGACTCCGTCTCCGACTCCGCCCGCGACTCCGGTCATCGTCCTTCGCCGCCTCACTGCCTGGGAAAAGAAACTGCCCAAGCAGTACACCGTCGCTGCCTCCCCTGGAGTGAACTCCCTCCACCTCCCGTTGGAGCTAGAGTCCACCACCAGTGCGTTGAAGCTCTCCCTTTCTGGGCTTGTTGACTGTGGCGCCACCTCCGACTTCATCGACACGAACCACGCCGCTCGGAATGGCATTCCGGTCCGCACCCTGGCGCAACCGATTCCGGTCTTCAACGTCGATGGCACTCCGAATGATGCTGGCTCCATCAACCAGATCGCGGACTTGGTCTTACGCTACAAAGGCCATTCCGAGCGTGTTCAACTTCGCCGTCACCCATCTTGGTAAACAAGACCTCATCCTGGGGTACTCCTGGCTGCGGAAGCATAACCCAGAGATCGATTGGGAAACCAAGGAGGTCAAGATGACGCGGTGCCCTCGCGGCTGCTCCACTTGCCGCGAGGAGGAACGCGTTGAACGGACTGAGCTACGGCGACTCCGGCTGCTCCAGAAGCGACTCCGCTCCGGCCCGTTCCCCTCGGTCTGCGCCATGGACCTTTCTGGGTCTGATGACGGAGACGATTCCGTCTCCGGTGACGACTCCGGCCTACCTGATCTGACGCCGGACTCCGACGATGACGATGACGATGGTCAGCTTGAAGATGGTGACCGCATCTTCTACACCTCGTTCCGCCCCTCGGAGGAGATACGCGCTGGAAGTACTGTCTCGCAACGCCTGGCCGAAGCCTTCGCCAGGAACTCCGCCCCTCCGCCCTCCGAGATCCCGGACTGGGCTAAGGAGTTCCAGGACGTCTTCAACAAGGAGTCCTTCGACACGCTACCGGAGCGGAGAGCCTGGGACCACGCCATTGAACTCGTCCCCGACGCTAAGCCGACCAACTGCAAGGTGTACCCCATCTCGCCCCTTGAGCAACGCGAGCTCGACGCGTTCATCGAGGAAGGGCTGTCGACGGGCCGGATTCGCCCCTCCAAGTCTCCGATGGCGTCTCCGGTCTTCTTTGTCAAAAAGAAGGATGGCGGACTCCGTTTTGTCCAGGACTATCGGGCCCTCAACGCGATGACCGTCAAAAACCGGTACCCCCTTCCGCTGATCAACGACCTCATCAACCGGCTCAAAGGCGCTCGCTACTTCACCAAACTCGATGTTCGTTGGGGCTTCAACAACGTCCGGATCAAAGAAGGTGACGAGTGGAAGGCAGCTTTCCGGACTAACCGAGGCCTGTTCGAGCCCTTGGTGATGTATTTCGGCCTGACAAACTCTCCCGCGACGTTCCAAACGATGATGAATGACATTTTCCAGGACCTCATCCTTTCCGGAGACGTCATGATCTACCTGGACGACATCCTGATCGCCCATTCCGACCTCCGGAAACACCGACAGATCGTCCAGGAGGTCTTACGCCGACTCCGGGAGCATAAGTTGTACCTCCGAGCGGAGAAGTGCGACTTGAAAAATCGTCAATCGAATACCTCGGAGTCATCATCTCCCACAACCACGTCGAAATGGACCCTGTCAAGGTCGCAGGCGTCTCCGCTTGGCCGACTCCGGACAACAAGAAGGATGTTCAACAGTTCCTTGGGTTCGCTAATTTCTACCGCAGGTTCATTCGGGACTTCTCGGCCCTCGCGTCCTCTCTTTGCGCTCACCAAGAAGGACCAGCAATGGACTTGGGGACGCGGAGGCCTCCGCGTTCCAAGCAATCAAGGACGCGGTCACCTCGGAACCGGTCCTGGCGATTCCGGACGACGCACGGCCTTTCCGACTCGAGGCGGACAGCTCTGATTATGGCGACGGGGCGGTTCTTTCACAATCCGCCCCGGACGGGAAGTGGCACCCTGTAGCATTCTATTCCAAAAGCTTAAATGATGTCCAGCGCAACTACGAAATCCACGACAAGGAGATGCTCGCGATCATCCGCACTCGAGGAGTATAGACACTTCCTCGAGGGCGCTGCGCACCCTGTCGAGATTTGGACTGACCATAAGAATTTGGAGTACTTCAGGAAGACGCAGCACCTCAACCGGAGACAGGCCCGCTGGTCCCTCTACCTCTCCCGGTTCGACTTCACGCTGCACCACAAGCCCGGCCGTGACATGGGCCGACCTGACGCCCTCTCTCGGAGACCCGACCACGGAGTCGATTCCGATAACTCTGATGTCGTCCTTCTGCGGCCTGAACTCTTCCACGTCCGCGCACTCGAGGGCGTTTCCGTTTCCGGTCCCGGCTCTGAACTCCTCCGCGACATTCGTGATGCCCTCTCCGGTGAGCCTGACCTGGAGGAGCCCCGTCGCACTAGCGGCCCGGCAACTTCTTAAGGTCCAAGGTCAAGCTCGAGGCCCCCGCTCTTCGCGGTCTGGACGAGTGGGCCGTCTCCGG